GTATTTATCTGGAAATCAACAATTAATATAAAAACAAAACTCGTTAAATAATAACAAACAATAATGCAAAATGTTGTTATCGGAAAATGATTAAACAACGTGAAACTTATTGGATAAAACGTGTGCCACGAAAATAACGATCTGCCGGGACTGATCAGCTTTGAATCGCACAAAAGAGACTTTTGTATGGAGTCAAAGGCAACGAGGAAAAAGAAAAATGAAGAATTCGAGCGTGGCGCGAGGGGAGAAACCGATTGACCGTTAAAATTTGCGGTTGTCAACCGGAGAGCGTTGCTTTCACTTTTGCCACGTGGAAAATCGTTTCCAGGCGATAGAAGTAACAAACACGGGTTAAAATGGAGAATGAATATTCATTCACATACCTGATTGCACAACGGCCACGTGGAAGACGTCAATCTTGGAGAATTGAGACTTCGGTTACACGAGAACCTCAGGTTCCGATTCTATTTTCACGTCTTCCAGACCTGCGAATGGAAAGGAAACGGACCTTGAGTACCCCGTCTATTCGAGCTATATTATAATTATGATAATAACGATAACGAGTAATAATTGTCGCGAATCAGATTAACGCGATATCTCTTGAATATTGTGTACAGAATTTCATTATTCGAAATTCTTAGCCTTCACTCGTTTATCCTTCACGCATATCAAAATTGACCCATTAAGAAAATGAAGCAATGCATTATGAAAAGCTCGCGCTGTTTTCTGTACATTCATATACAAGATTAATCTTGAAGTTTAAAGTAAACCTAGCACGACTGACATAGGAACAATCTTTCGAAGCAAATAGCCAAATTAAATTGACACAAGAAGGACGAGGATAAACGTCGCGTAAATCCAAAACTGAGTTCCAGCAGAAACAACGATTTAATTCCATATAAATCTGCTGAGTCTCTTGATGGACAGGGTAAGAATGAAAAACGAGGAAAGTATATGGTTGTACATGAGTGGCACAGGAATAATCTTTTCAAACAAATATCGAAATTAAGTCGACACAAGAATGATTATAGCGAATATCCCATAAATCTAAATCTAGGTTCCAACAGAAACAAGGATTTAATACAATATAAATCGAGCCTCTTTATGGACAGGATAAAAAAAAACTATGGAAAACGAAAAATGCAGATTGAATATAATAAACGAAACACAGATGATTACACCTCACCAGGTACTACTATCTTATTATTATACGTAGCAGAGAATGTCTATCTCTAGCCTCCATTAATTTTCCCGTACAATTTTTCTTATGGAGCTACTCGAAAAATAAAGTACACGTTGAGGCTCCGATTATAATTACTGATATGATGCCAGAACGTGCCTCTCTCGAAGCCGTTCAACACTACAGATATAAAAGCATTCTTTGCGGAAACGAGGTGGTAATATCTGTTGAACTAGCCTGTATATAATTCTAATCTCTCGATTCTACGCTTTGGCGATGTTTCACCGGCAAAGGTGGGATTCTTCCGGTGCTTAAAGCACGTGTAAATATCCGCGCACAGGATTTCCGAACGCGAGCTTTACCGAGCCTCTCGCTTTCAAAGCCGGCCGGCAGCGTTGCGGCGAGTCGAGAAAAACCGCTTTTCCGATATCTAAGCTGAGCGAAAGATAATGCTCGACTGGCTACCGTTTAAACAACACTCGACCAGCCGCAGAGCGTGGCTTCCTCTTCCTTTTCATCCCGGGAGTACGTAATTAAAAGTGAGCGAGTATAGCGTCGCGTGGCTGGCAAAGATGCGCAGCCGACTTTCACGAACTCTTTCAATGACGCGGCGACTCTGGCTGACGTTAATCGAGTCATTATGCAACTGCAATGCGCGGCTCCCGACCGACGCATAACATTGCTGTTCAGTATTGCGATTCACTCTACACTGTACTGTCCCATGTAATACCAGACCTGCCGATTCAGTGTACAATTAAACCTCAAATACAGAAAAAACCCATAAATCACATCATCGTGACTCACGTATCTTTAATATACAATTAATTAAAATTGGCTGTTTAGCATCTGTCCAAGTTCGAGATATTAGTGATATTTAAAAACTGTACAAATCTTTATTGTGAAATATTAATCAGGATTATAACTTATTCAAATTTTATCTATACAATGTCAACTGCGTACAGCATACATTTAAACTAAACAAGCAATATGCTTGTCGTACTATAAATGCATTGTTTTATCCAAACTAGGACTTTAATTAACCACATCCTGAAATCCGTGCAATTGAAAAATTCATTTACTGTGTAATAAAATGACTAAATGACAGTTCGCCTCAGCTAAATTTCAGTCCCTATTGACTCATTCCGCGTAATAGAAAATGATCAAATATCTTATTGTCTAGAATTACCGTTTCTCGAACATCACGTATTTATGCAATTCGTGAGTCGTCGGGTTAACGACGGACCTGGATAACTATTACATCATGGATAGACGGAGGGACTCGAGTTACCGCGCAAAAGGACGATCAGAGTAAATTAACAGGTGAGTGGAGCAGCTGATATCGATCTGAATCGAAACGGCGCCACCGCGAGCACGCGAGGAGCTATTATTTTCACTTAATCTCTGAGATAGATAAACTGTTATCACGAGGCGGTACTGCCTTAACGACGATATTAATCAAGAACGTACAAAGAAATTTAGAAAATATTAGCAGGCACTAATGTGCCACTGCGTTTAAATATTTGTAGCAGTCAAACTACGAATAGCTTCTACATAATTATATCTCGTATTTAACTGAACATTTTAACATAATATATAAACGAATATGTAATAAAACTGTGACACTTCTTTTTCTCCAGAACGTATGTGCGCATTTCAATAAACAGCTTGACGAAGTCGCCACAGGCACGCTTTAGTAATAAAAAAGGAAACAAGAACGCCTCTGCGTTTCCTCTGACGACTTATTTCTAACACGAATTCTAACGCGCTCCGAAATGAATCATGACGACAGACTCGGTTCGTAGCTTGTTGTATCAAATTTCACGGGCGTCAGACACAACAATTAATTACTCACCGTCCCCGGTCGGAGAGCAGTAAACGATGACCCAACGGAAGCTTTGAAGAGCACACGAAACACGCGACTCCGGATTTGTCTACACTGACGCGAGACGTGTTACCACCTGCCGCGACGTTTGTTACACGCGATTGAGCGGTGGTGGGCCCGATTTTTTTTTATGAACGGATTCAGCGAAAACGCGGGTACGCAGACACGGGGGAGGAAGAAGTGACGCGAGACGTGTTGCCACCTGCCGCGACGTTTGTTACACACGATTGAGCGGTGGTGGTCCCGATTTTTTTTATGAACGGATTCAGCGAAAACGCGGGTACGCAGACACGGGGGAGGAAGCACGTGGCGCGGGCGCCGTTCGGGAGAACCGTAACGAAACGATGTCGACGCGACCAGAGCTCGCTGCTCACTGACGCGACGTCGACGTCGTCCCCGCGGGTGCCTGTACTTTGCCCCGCTCACCGCGCCCGTAATATCCCACCACCCGTCCGCGTGTACAGCGTATGTATACAATAGTTTAAAGGATGTTCACGTGTAGTAGCTGGAGGTCATGGTTTTTCACGTTTACATCTGTACTTCACACGTCTGCGTCTGATGTAATTTTCCTATATATTTATAGACTTCTGGGATCATCTGTTTTTCTTATTACCATTCGTGAATTTCAAGATGGTCAATAGGAAAGGTACATTTTCATGCAGCGAATCATTCACTGCAAGTAGCGAGTAGCGAGTAAATGCGAGTGAAGCGAATAAACTCGATACTCGCTGCTAATTATTTGCTGCATGAAAATGCAACTGAGAATAGAAGATTCACTTGTCTTTAGGACACTATGCCACAACGTGACGATCATCTTACGAAAACTTGCGAAAAGCTGACATACTTCAGCTAGTTGCGAGCACTCGCATTTACCCGCGAAAATACCACGTGACGTCGTCAGCGAGTAATTCGCTGCACGAATTTGCAATTTATGGATGTATTGACTATACAATCAATCCCAAAAGTTTATGTACTTCAGAAAAACGCATTTCCTATAATTAAAAAGAAATCAGACGTCGGAAGAACAATGCTAATAATAAATAGCTACGTGCTAAAAAGTATAGAAGGAAATATTCAATTAATTATTGACGCTGGCGAAAAGAAGAAATTTTAGGCACTGACATCGTCTACAAGAAAGATTCTATGCATTTTTCTTCTAACTCCAGTATTTAACGAGTTAAGTATGATTATTTGGCATTTTATTGATGTTGACAAAATCCGACCATCCCAGCGTCGAAACGGCCAACTTTTGGCAAAAAATTTAATTTTTCCTTAATTACTCCTAAACCGTTGAATCTACGGGAAAATTGCATCAGACCTTTCTTGTAGAGGACGACGAGATCTACAATTTCTGTATAAAAGTTTGTCGCTATCATTAATAGT